TAGAATGAAGGAAACTTAACTAATAATGTTAAAACAAAGTCATTTTTGTTGGCGCCAAGTTTTAAAACTCTTATTGTCTTTCAACAATGATTGTACAATAATACAAATTATGAATGATTTCAGCGCGCATTTTCCCATAGGCTAGTGATAATTCATCTGCGTGTAATTCGTCTTGCCGTGAATATAGCTTTAAGTTGTGAGCAGCTGAAAAGGCCCAAATGATATTTTCCAAATATTCATATTGTTTATCAGGCAATGACCAACACAATACCCCTGAAACTACCCCAAATCTCACCATGGGCAAGTTAAACTTTAAGCACCACTAACTACCAATGGAGTGCGACCGCACCAATGACCTTGAAACGCTCACTGAGCAATTTAGTGAAACCTGGCAAATAACGTTGTAATCATCAATAAAATATGCTCATCGAAGTGTTATGTTATTAAATGGGATATTTGGGAAGTTTCAGCTTACGTTTGGGAAAGGTTAAGTTACGGTTTAGGCCAAGGACAAGTTAGGGTTAGGATAACTTAATAAAGGCGATATTAGGGTTGGTTCGAGTTAGATTACAGTTAGTCTAGGGATATTTTCACGTTAGGGTTAGGTTCAGGAGAGATTAGGGTTATTGTTAGGATTAGAAGACCTAAATAATTACATGCATAGAATGTGGTTAAATTACTCTGTTGATATAAGAATAGAACTTGTGCACTGTGGTACAGTATAATTCCATTGTGGGTAAAATTTATTCTGATAGTCTCACACTGTTATACAATAACATTTACTGATGACGTCTCAAGCACAATTTATTGCTCAGTAAATATTACTGTATAACACTATAAGACTTTATCAAATTAAATTTTACCCACAATGGAGTTATACTCCGTTGATACTCTAACCTAAAACTGATAGCTATTTTTATCCCATTTGAGAGGAAGGTATCTTCTGTAACACTTTTCGATAGTTTGTATGCATTTTTTCATAAATATATGTATTCTATACACAAAAATGTGTCCTTAACGTGATTGTTCTATTCGAGGTCATTCGCCGATTGGTAGTTAGTGGTGCTTGAAGTTTAACTTTGCCCCCACCATAATATATTGCAGTAATCTGATTATTATTATCATTGTTATTGTTGCTGCTAAATATCACGGAACATTTAACTTCATATGGATAAATCAACTAAAAGTGGACATTTTCTCTCTCCTTCATTTCAGCCTGATCGAATCCATGTCAGTCAAACATTTGCCTCGAGTCTATCGGAATTTCCATACATTTTAGAATTCCGTGGTGAAATTAGCGTGAAGGTAATTTTTAATTATCTTTTTGGAGGGAGGGATGGGAGGTTCCCTCATATTCAATGTGGTATTCATCTTCACTGGATAGTGATGTTAGGAATGTTAGATTTTGAGAAAAATTCGTCAATATAGTACAGTGTTTGTTTCAATTTTAAGAGAATATTTCGCATTTGAGCTAATTAATTCCCGCCAAAATTTCATTCAACCACAAATGGATAGACTGACAGAAAGACCTCAGACGGTCTGATAAATACTAGCACTAAGCATTTAAAATTCATTGACAGTGAGAAAGTCAAATTTGTTGACGCTTATAAGCGGTACATTTTTTGAAAAGAAATCGTATATCAGTCAATGGGAAAAATAGAATTCACTTAAACAAAGCGGCCTAGTGGATAACACGATTTAGCGTTTGAAACAAAGGATGCTGAGTTCGAGCTTCACAGGGCAACACTATCACTCGCTGTGGAATACAGTCACATCCAAATGACGAATCTCCAGTAGGATGAAATGTGCATCCTGAATTCCACCCACCAAATAAAGTCTTATATCTTGTTTAAATGTTGGATTTATTGGAGTTGGGTTAAACTATTCCATCATGACATTTTAATGACCATTAATAATTCATGACACTTCAAAGGCAGACTGCCTAAATAAACTAGAATATAATTTATTGAACTGACCCACCTTAGAATATGTTGCACCAAAACGATGAGACTAACAGAAAGGCATTTAAAACGAAGAATAGCACGTTAGTGGTCAAACGATTGTTAGACGGTTTTTATTTGGATTCACAAAATGAAATTATTACTACTAAATCTTGTACCTTGGTTGGACTGACAAGATTGATGAGTATATTACAACTAGTGGTCTTGTTTACAGAAGTATTTGTTGTTTGATTGTGGGTGGCGAACTACAGGGATACCAGCAATTTAGTTCTGCCAAACCCCTAATAATTGTCTGAAGGAATCTAGTTTGAGGGATCGACCAGAAATATATCAGTTGTAAGTATTGTATTTCCTAACTTTCATAACTTGACTGATAGAATTCAGTCTGCGCCGAACACACGACTAGACGCGTGACATCAGTTACTTACTACCTAGGGTCCAATCAAACTACCTAATACAGTTCTACAGGAGGTCAATCGCCAACCCTAACAGCTCACTGATAATGTCTCTGACAGCAGCACTGGGTGACACGGGTTCGAATTTCGGAAGGGATGTGAGTTCCTTCAAGGTTGCAGATAGGCCTTTCTGACTTGTGAGCGCCGACAAGTACAAATCTTAGGTTCAACACGTCCTTCCGGTTGCCAACAACCATCTAATAACAACATTTCAGAATGCGCCATGGTGTTGAACCACCTGGTATGGTGGCCGGATTGTAAACTTGATTGATAGAATTCAGTCAGCACCAAATGAAGAACTAGACAGATGACCTTAACCAGCCAAAATATTACTTTCAGTCTTCCAACCTTGTTTTCATATTACAAATGCAGTTTCTGTAATTCATTCACAGTAGGAGTTACTCTCCATTAACCAGATAATCAATACATATGTTAAGAGATTTCATTCTCAGTTTTATCCATATACTTATTTTTAAAAACCAAATATGGAGTTGTAGTTATATTGCAGAATTATGTTGGCCAAATATAAGGAGAAACGTATTCATCATTTAAGTACGGCGATTCATTAATAATCACTTAAAACTGATTAGATAGTTTATGACTGAGTATAAGTGTAGGGGAGGGGAGGCGGAAGCTCAGAATAGCCTTGTGTTCTACGCTGTTTTCTCCACACATGTTAGTTGTTAGGACATGAAGTCTGAAATTCAGTTGAACAGCATAAGCCAATGTCGTACAGCTTTGAAGACGCCTGTACTAAAACCAGTAGTAAGTATTGTTAATGTTGCACGGATCATTCCATCTATATGGTGGGTAGTTATCACACATACTACACGACGAAGGTTTAAATTCCATGTGTGCATCCTAGCAATGAGACTTCCTCTGGTTACAATGTGTTTAACACTGGAGTCCACAATCCTTTACCTGTCATGAATTATCTCTTATTGAATGAAGTAATGCAGAGTGAAATAAGAATGGTAAATAACAATAAAAATATTTTAAATGTAATTATAATGTTGCGCGTGCTACTGATAAGATTCATCAGTAGTTTACGAAAAGAGATATTCATCGGCAGAACAACATCGAATAGCAGGAAGATAGATAGATTTGATGTCAGAGAAAGCAAATGATACAGAGTTGCGGAGATACATGGGAGACGTGAAAAGAACACAAAAAAACACAATATGAAGGAAGGCCACAAATAGCACAACACGGAAGATCTGTGGAAATGATATGTTGAAGATAAGGTGTACATAATTTGGCTATATTGAGATACCCAATTCCAAAAGATCATTCCTTTACCATATGTTACAGGATATAGGTGGCCAGTACTTTGAATGGACACTGGTAACTAGTGTGATGTGCCTAGTCCTTTCTTTGGTGCAGACTGAATTCTATCAGTCAGCTTTGCAATGTGGCCACCATCCTAGCTAGGGACATGAATTCCTTCAAGGTTGCAGATACACCTTGCTGAAGAGTGCCAACTAGCACGAAACCTAGGTCGAAGGCTTCCGTGGCCCATTGCCTCCAACCACCTAAAATAGGTAACCAGGATTGATAATAGCAGCTTTTTGGTATTTGCAGTGATAACAAAGTCAGAAACGTACAAAAGGTGTAAAATAATGATGATGATAATAATAATGTAAGTAGTTAAAATTATAAGTTAATTGAATTAGTTTCGCCATAAGTAACAAACAGGAGAAATTCAGAGAGCCAGTCACTTCGCTAATAACATGGGAAGTCGTAGATTTCAAGTTTAACACTGTCTCTAGTGGAAACATTTTCTTAAAAACCGACAAGATATGGGATGACGAAGAAAGATGAGAGCATAGAACTATTATTCTGAGGTATTTAATGCTTCACTTAGTTTTTGCATTAGTGCCCTGTATGCTACAAGCATCATGTGTACGAACCAGTTCGAGGTGGTCACGTTTCTCTGCTTCAAGGTGAAGTTAATTGTATGACGGATGTGTGGAGGAATTTAACGTAAGACCATTTAGCTTGAACAACTAGCTTATGTTCAACAAAAATCCATGCGATCAGTTTGAAATAGTCAGATAGGGAAGTAACTGGCAGCAAGACAGGCAGACCACCAGCTCCGTTCTCAAAGACCTGAGCACAGTTTAATTCTTTTAACAAAGACTAAACTGATTTAATTCTGGTGCCTCCAGCTAAGATAACTCCATCTGCAAAAGCGTATATTAAGGTTTCTGCAGTTAAAAACTCGGTATTCTGGGATCTGTATCATGTGGTTGCTTGCTGATGACTGCTCACATGTTTTTTGTTTTTTTTTTTGATTTACAGCTTGATTTCCACACCGTATTTTCAGTACAAGTGTGGAACTTTCAGCATGGATATCGGTTGCCCAAATTCAGGCATACCATAGATATCGGGTGTGCGCCGGCAGGGGTTCGAACCCCGGACCATGTGCATGGTCGGCGAGAGTCCTAACCACTGTGCCACCGACGCACGATCAGAAGATTTCCGTTTGACTTGGCGTAATATAGTAGTAGTCGTAGTAGTAGTTTTATTCCCTTGTTTTATCCTTCGTGTTTCTTCCTTTTTTCTTTTATAGGGGAAAGGTAAGATGAGAACCTACTTTGTCACTGGTCGGAGTAATGATTACAAATTACCGAATAAACTATTTGGAAATCAGTCTAATTTTGCTGAAGTTTTAGAACAAGATGTTGATCAAATAGAATCAGAACATTCAACCTTATCCTACGAGAGATCAGTTTCTGATGATGATGACGATGATGATGGCAGTAACAACGGCGATTGTGTAAAGGATGATCTATCCGATGATGATGTTGATGATAATGATGCAGCTAAAGATAATATCTCGGAAAATTCAATTGCCGTTGATTTGGACGATCTTGAACATTTCGATAAATCCAATGCTGAAAACCGATTAAATGCTTTTAATGATGCTACATTGAATTGTGATGTTCTGAACAGTAGAGCAGCCAGTTTGATAGAAAAAATCAACCATCCAAAAATACCAATAATACATAAAGGAAAAGAATATATGAATGATAGCATGCCATTAGATAAAATCACACCAACCGATCTACGCACTAACACACATACTACTGATCACCGTATCACTAGTAGTAGTAGTTGTAGTAAATTTTTAACAGCTAACGATGTTTCTCACCATTTGTCAGGATTAAGCGTGAATCCATCATCTTCACTTGGCTGGAAGACGCGTGACAGTCTGGAATTAGATCATTTGACTAAGTACTGTCTGCAGCCTAAGAAAACAAAAGAGATGTGTCGTTCTCCAACATCACCTAACCATAAAAAAGATGTAAAATTCGATTTGAGTAGCAAAGAAGTGATTTCTGATAATTATGTAACTAGTTATTATGATTATATGCAAACAACAGAACCTGATTCTGTCGAAAACGGTGATAATGTGGAAGAAGCATCGAATAACAAGAAAAGTGCTGCTGTGAAATTCCAATCCTCTGAACAACAGGGGTTAGTCGATATGAATTCCAAAAACAGTGCATTCGTGAAACAAACTTACGAAGGTGATGTATTAAAGTACAGTAAGTGAAAGTAAATGTAGTCGACAATTTAGAAAATATGTTTAACAACAAGAGTCGATAAGTAGTCATAGATATGCTTTCGAAATAGAATCGTAAAACAATTTTGTTAACAATAATGCCAATAATAAATGTATTAGGATTAATAAATGTAACCTGTATTGTTTCTTTGCTCAGAAATCCTGAAGAGAGTGGATTGATTTTTCAGGGTAGGGTCGTTAGCTTCAAACCCAAAGTTCACTACTTTTCCTGGCTTAGAACAGGCTAGCGAACTAGACGAGAATCGACCGAAAAAAAGACCTAAAAACATCCGAACTTCAGGGATGATCCATGTCTAATGTCTCACAGATATGAAGAAATACAGGCCAAAACTACCAAGTCAGTAGAAGAGGCAGCGACGAGAGAATTTTAATTGAACAGAGAGAAGACAGAGGTGATGAAGACAGACCAACTGACAAGCTTTGTCTTCCACTAAGAACCCTGAGAGAATAAAAGCATATTAAAATTGAGTAGAATCACAAACCATAGTTTCCAATGAATAGTTACTCTTTAGTAACTAGAATATTCCTATAATTTATCCAGAACAAAAATAGTTAGGGTGAACAATTGTTTTCAATAACAATAGCCAGTAAAGGCAAATTAGAATCATATCAGAAATGTATAGTGGAACAAGTGTAAGGTGGAATGGCCCCGATTCAATCGGTTCCCAGTGGCTGACCGGTATAAAAGCTTGCCTTGTAACCGGAGAGTTCTGAGTTCGAACGCCAGCGAATGCGTAATGCCGAGGATTTCCAAACTATAATGAAACAGCTGCCCAGTACTCCGCTGCTGGTTTTCGATGGTTCTCTGACTGATACCAATCCCTGTTCAAACTCGAAGATATACAGAACATTTCACAGGAGTTGTAGGACTATAGGATTGGCAAGCAAATAAAACAACGTTACATAACACGGTGTGAAATTCTTTAACATGGAATTCGACATTTCAGAATAAATTTTTGATTGAGAATGACAAGTGGAACAAGTGAAATAATACCAGTAACAGTTCGAAATGAGAATAGTAATAGTAACAATAATAATAATAACCATATTAGTTGTAATAAGGGAAAGGCACATGAATTAACCAAATAAACAAAATAAAAAATATTGAGAAAATAAATGTTTATCCCTCTTCAACTAAGGCAGAAATAGGGAATGCACATACTTCTTTCATATACAAACCTCTCTACTGAATTCATGAATGGTTATGGCCTCCACTGTTTTTAGAATGAAGAAAACACAGCAAGTTAGCATGGATTCAGTAGATGATCTTAAAATCATATCTAGGATTAGTCGAATGACGTAAGTCAATCAAGTGTTCTAGAATAATAGAACTTCACACACTCTTACTTCCTCCCTTGTAAAACCATTCTGGAATATATTCTCGTATCCGTTTGGAAAGCATTCTGTGGCTACGAACAATTTACCTTGCTCCACAAAAGCAAGTGAACTGATGCATGCAAATGGAGGCGGCTAGACAAGGAACCTTAACTTTTACTTAGATGGATATCTACAAAGATATGTTTGACACATGTCGTTTTACATCACTTTATGTTAATTGATTAAAAGCAACTTTTAAAAAATATCTTTTTATTCAGACTAATTCTATCATGATTCTGAGAAGTTTACTGCTGCATTAATTTCTGTTTACAGAAATTGAAAGATTCAGAAAAATGATGAAAGACGAGTCATTTAGTCAGATGAATACAGTTACCTTCACTTCATCTGGATCTGATCTATTCAACGAGCTTAGTGAGTTTTGTGTACTTCATTTAACTTTTATATCACTATTGTAATGCAGTATCAAACTAATTGCACAAATTTTCAGGTATTGGTTTTGTAGGGATTTTGTTTGATTGCATGGAGGATTTCATCATGAGCTGACATCAGTTAGAGAACCACTGGAAAACCTACAGGGAGTACTGGACAGCTGTTTCGTCTTAGTTTGGGACTCTTCAGCTGATACTCACTAGTGACTGGCCGAATTCAGGCAGTTAACCTGGGGTTCTAGTGGGAGGCCGTGACCAGTAGGGTACAACAGGTTGAAGATGAGACAGTAACTCATCGAAGAAGACATTGCAGAATGGTTGCGCTATGTCGTGAACTGGCAGAAGTTAGAATTCAAGGACCATTGGATCGGGTCCCAGTGGATCAATGGTCTACGAGCTCGCCTTGTAACCAGAAGGTCCTGGGTTCGAATCCGGGTGGGTTCGTACTGCTGAAGAGTCCTAAACTAGGATAAAACAGCTGTCCAGTACTCCCAGGTTTTCCAGTGGTTCTCTAACTGATGTCAGCTCATGATGAAATCCTCTATTTGCACAAATAACTATTTAATTTCAGTTGTTAGATTTCGTCACCAATTAGCGTCGATTAGATAGATCAATAAAAAATTATGCTCCACTGAACAGCCGTTTCGTTCTATCTTAGGACTCATCATCACTGCATACCCACAACGTGGCCAGGGACCGAACTCGGGACATTCAGGTTAAGAGACCAAGCTTATTGACCATCCAACCACTTGGGCTAAAATTCAGCAACCGGTGAATTCTAGCTTCGGCGACTTGTGATACACCTCTACCCTCACCAATGACTTTGATGACAATGCAGTTCACCTTAACACACGGTGAACCCCAATGGTCACGACTTTCCACTGATGAGAAATTTAACGACTGGAATTAGTCCAAAATCCCCACAAATCCTGTAGTCTGAGCTATTTAATTATCGTCAAACTACTGAATTCATTATTTTTTTACAAATATGTGAACAGTTTTATATCTTCACAAATAACGAGCCAATGGAATAGGAGCAGGGAAACTAACAGGTAACTCTTTTCTAAAATTTGGAAGAATACAAATTCTAGTCATACCAGTGACTTACTTATCCCTTACTCTCCATCATCTTATGTGAAAGAAAAGTGCGACGAAATGCTGACCTCTTTCAGGATTTAGAATAATTCACAATCTTTCTGAGGATGAAACTTTCAAGTTTGTCTACAGCCTAAAATCAGCTAGAGAACCAGTGAAAACCAGCAGAGAGTACTGGACAGCTGTTTTTTCTTAGTTTGGGATTCCTTATCAGTAAGCACCCATGGGGATAAATACTCGCCGGTAATGCTGACTGGTGGTCACTCTATAATCACGCATTGGTAGAAGTTAGAATTCATGGGCTATCCATTGAGTCGAGTCCAAGTGGCTGAGTCGTTTACGAGCTTTCCTTTTTTTCTCAATAAAGTCCTGGATTGGGACTCCAGTTGGTGAGTAATGCCGATGACACCCGAGCTCGGACGAAATGGCTGTCCACTCCTCCCTGCTTTCCAATGGTTCTCTAACTGATATCAACCCATGATCAAACTTGAGACAAATGAAATCTCTACAAACTAACTCTTGAAGATGGGATTATACTGTTTAATAGCACCGCTTATGATGAGCTAAAATCTTATAAGGCTAACTAGAGTATACTCCACATTGGATAAGTTCATTTGATATAATACACGGTTATACAGTATTAATAAATGGGTGACGCTTCGACTATAATTTCTTGCTCATAATCACATCAATACATTCACATGGCTTCATAATTTTCCTGATATATATATATATATATATATTTACCTCTTCTTTCCCTGCTCCCCCTTGTTCTTTGTTGCGATTCCCCATATCTCCGATGTAGGCGTTGCGCCATTCCGATTACACGTGTGCGGTTTTGAATCAGTACGCAAAGATTCAGTGATTAACCTTTCTGCCTCCCCACCTAATTATATTACTTTTTAATACTCACACCCTATCCCACCCACCCTATTTTATGATTGCATGCAAGTGAATACAGTGCAGTGCAACGGCTGGGTTTTTTCCAGGTCATTCAACTTAGCAGGGTCAATCAGTCTAGGTCTAGCTAAACTTTTATGTTCCAATAATCTGGTTGACCCCGATTTACTAGTTTCACCTATGTAACTGACCTCACATTCACCATTACATGACATTATATGTATTTTATTACAATAATATTTTTCCTAATTGGATCTATCGGGTCCTTAAGCCGACAAAGTTGATTTTTGAGAGATTTGGTTGGTATAAGAGCCACCCTGATTCCAGACTCATTCAGAATTCTGCGTAAGCCCTCTTATGTTCCTTCCTTTATACAGCAGTACCATACAGGCTTTAAATTCTATATTGTTTTTGTCACTTTTATTGCTAGTCTTAGTTTTTCTATGGCTCTTGATATATTTCTGAATAACTTCTAGTGGGTAGTAGTTATGCACTAGCAATATGTTTCTTGTTTGTTTGATTTCATTATTTAAATCTTCTGACTTAGCAGTCAGATTCCTGGCTTGATTATATAGACGTTTAACTAAACCTATCTTTACCGATTATTAGAGTGTGTGTCGGATTCCTATAAATGCCAGTATCTAACCCATCATCTTGTTTTCGTTTTGTTCTACATTCTAGCATAGCCAGTTCACCCTGTTCATTTTCTAAATCAGAATTGAACTGGACTCCCTCTATTATTGAGTTTACATGCGTAAGGAATTGAGGGACAGTGAATGTATCATCCACATATCTCCGTCATAGCCTATCAGCAGTATTAAACGCGCTAGGAACTTTAGGTTCTCAGCTGTCCATAAATATGTCTGCTATTAATGGTGTTACTGGTGATCCCATTGCCGCAACATTCGTTCGTGTATATAGTTCATTTTGGAATTTGAATACAGTGGAGGTTAGACTTAACTGAGCACCTAATACTATTTCATAAACTGAGAGCTTACTCTTATTTCTGAGGTCAGGAACAATGTTCAGTTCATTCCTAACTGCCTTCAGAGCTGTATTGATTGGCGTATTAGTGTACAAGCTGGTTATGTCATAACTAATCGATTTTCCATCTTTTTCTAACCGAATTCCCCCTGGCTTCTGTTTCATTACATTAGATGGAGTTAAACTAGAATGTAACCTGTCTCTGATTGGACATAATACTGATGATAAGTATTTAGATAACTCTTATATCATAGTGTTCCTAAAGTCAACTATTGGCCTAATACAGTATGAATTTTATGAATTCTAGTAGTGCCATACATTCTACTAGGATTATCACTTTTAGGCATTAGATTGAATCATTCTGACAGTTCAGTTAATAATGATAAAGGCTTTGCTTATGTTTACAATATGGTTTCCTGTGTTTCTTCCCACTTATTTTAGCTGAACCGTTGTCTTTAGCCTTAACAGAATTGGCAATAGTACGACCAAGTGAACCAATAAAATATCTGGGATCATGGCTTAAATGTTACACATCAATGAAATGAAGAATACGAGAATAAATGACAATAGAATCTATAGATACATATATATATATATATCACATTATTTCATAAATATCTCTGTTGTACAACAAGCTAATTCATTTACCTTGTCTTTTTATTACAAACCACATTGAATAAAATGATTAGAAAAACATTCAAGTGAACAACTTTTTGATAAATTATATTCTCCTTGGAGTTGAAGTGAATCAAATGTCAGATCCTCGTCGTTACAGAGATAATAAAGATGCGGATACTATGGAAAATACTAATGGTGGTATTAGCAGTCGTATTTATAAGTGATTGAAAGACTGGAGAGATCATTGCTGTGAGAAACTGGGATGAAAAACAGGTAGCCTAACTCTAAAAGTAAGTGTAGTGAGGACGTGAAGTAGATCAAAAAAGTAAGGTAGCGCCATTTCAAAGCCAGTAAGTTCCGCTTCATTGAGTAAATGATAAAGATTGTGAGACATTTTCCAGGTGTATGGGAAAGGATCTCTGGCGTGAATACTTGTTGTTCTAGGGATAATAATGAAACTTATTCTAATTTAATGGACCATTTCTGCAATGGTGTCATCATCCGCTATGTCTAGTAAAGTGAAACTCTTAGATTTCCACTGGTGTTTCTGTCTACCACGAGACAGATGCTTGAAAATACATTGATCAGTTTATCCAGGAATGCACGCGAAATCAACGTTTTTTTTCGAGGAACTGGTGAACTAGTAATCTGACATAAAAGCTGAAAAACCAGCTGGGCTTCTATGGCTTGCAGCAATGAATCAACTGAAATGATGGACAAGAGAGAAACGTAAATAGAGTTCTTTAAGCTGTTTCAGACGGTCCATAGAACATGGGAGTTAGCTGTATAAATCTTCACTAAGTTTAAAAATAGTAAGGGTTGTTTTTTCCATGAGATAGATGCTCCATGCCAGTAAATCTATGGATGCATGCTTGTAACGGAAGAAAATAAGAGCCTTGTTAACGGAACTCCACTAAAGAAAATATATTTATACATCCTTGGCCCTATTAAAATCCGGATAGGCCAGAAGACAATTAGTTATTCTCATTGGTTGACAGTTGGCTCAAGGCTAAACAAGTTGACCTTATGAGGTTATTTCATGTTCACAACGTAAACTAAGTCCCTTTTTGAGGAATAAACACTTCTACCTTCACAGCCAGTCATTGACTTAAAATGTTGGTTTCAATTTTGGTCAGTTCCCATCAGTCTGCACAACACTGCACGTTTATTTCTACAAAATTAGTTACAGAACTATAAACATAATGGAACCCGTTCCATAAAATGTCATCAGAACCATTCTACAAGATAGTTGAGAAGAAAATGAGTATTTTGCGCACTTATCAGCTCTAATCAACAAATTGTGTCTGCTACCTAGAAGGAATTGACGCCTCCGAATCATCTGCTGTTGCAGTCACAGCTGTTACTACTGTCCAAGTAGGACTAAATTGGCAACTTTACTGGTGGGGTCCCAAACCAAAACTTGTGTAAAATCATAATAATAGCATAGCGAAAATATTCATCCAGGCATCTGTAAAACACAAAATAATTGACCAAAGGATATCCTTTTCGATAATTTACTCTTCTCGCTCTACAATTATATATATATATATATGTTTATATACATAGAATATTCTAGAATAGTGGTCAAATAATACTGATTTGTAAAGTACGATCAATATAATTACAGTTTATTAAAGATGCTTAAATTATAATATTAATAATAATAAAGATATAATAGCAAATAGAATATCAACTAAAATTAGGGAGATTTCTACAAAAATTAAGGACCATTCAAACCTAGATGGCCAAAGCAAGGATAATGTCTGAACTAGCTTCTTTTGGACGCATAAATTAGGCTTCTTAATGTTGATCCCAAGAGCCTCACCAATGTTTAGTAATCGAACTCATAAGGCGAAATTGAGATTTGTTGGTATGCGGTAAATGACTTTGAAGGCCGCCTCATCGATATCAATCTTGTGTTCTGTTGCATCCACAGGATGAGATAGAATAGCGCTGCGAAGAGATTTTGATTGTCCTTTGCTTAACCACGCAGGGTGATGTTCGGAAATAAGAATAGTAATATATTCTTAGTTTATGTACATGAGGGACGCCAGTTTACAGGCATCATCAGTATGATAAGTAATATATAGATGGAGTAAGCATATTTACAATTTTTCAATTACACAGGATATATATATATAAATGAGCTGTTTGTATTAACACTTTATACTATGGTACGTTTCATATATATATATATATATATGACGACAGGAAAATTAAAGGCAGTACAAGCACCTCACTGGATGATACAGAAATGTCGTTTAAGTTCAACGAAATAAGCTAGAAACTCTAAGATGTCTGATTTTATCAATCAATCGCCTTAAGTCCATAATCTAATGAACGCCCTTACGTTCAGCTCATTTCTGTGGAATAAATCTGAAGCTTTCATCCGGAAAAACTTCAATTTGTAGTGGATACTTGAACAAAACTTCACTTAACAGACAACTTCTGTCCTTTATGATCAGGCTTCTAAGACGATTGTAATATGTCAAGAATATCAGTGAACGAATATTTATGTAAATTTGCACTCCCATATATTAAAGTAAATCATCAGGAAATGGGACGCTTGCATACTTACTGCAAGTCAAGAGACACCATTTCCATAGATTAATATGGTTTACTGGTAAAGTGATATTGTGGTGAGAGTTATCTACAAGCCAAAATTGCAGACAGCAATTTTCCTCAGTGTTTACGTCCCAAATCGGGGTCATGAGATAAAACAATAACCTTAAGGAACTCAACAACCAATCACAGCAGACTTAAAGTGGGCAGACACGATTTGCAGATATATAACTGGACTGTCTAAGAAACGGCCACGAAGAGATGACAGAATAACCTTGGACAAGAAAACAGCCAATCAGAAGACGCTGTTTCTCTGCTAACAATAAGGAATAATAATGTACACAAAAATCTGTATCTCTTGATTTTCTGAATAGACGATCTGTTGCCTGGCCCTTCTCTTCTGTCGTTACAGTATAATGTCAATGATACATGGTAGTATTCACGAAATCCCTTAATTTATAATTTATGCAGCGACTGGTACCAAAACCTCAATGCACCAGTTGAAGATAAACATGCCCTACTGTCTAGTGTCACACAAACTGGAAGACTTCCATGCGGAAAGCAACTAGTTGGGAGAAGAAGCAACAAAGATAGAACCGAACTTCAAGTGAACATGGAGAAGACAGAGGTGGTGAGGGTAACAAACTAACCACCAACAACAACAAGAATCAATAACTACCAACGAGAGAAATTCGGGAAAAGTTACTTCCTACACTTATCTAGACACGATTGTTTCAAATACAAGCAGACGGCATGGATGAAGATGTCAGAACTAGTATCGGTAAGTCAAGACAAACCTTCATCAATTTGAAATCAGCACCAACAACAAAATTTGGATTTTCAGTACCAGTGTGAAGCCAATCATTCCTTTGATATGGGCCAGGAAATTGGCGAGTCAAAAAAAGCATTTCCAACGGCATGTCTTTGCTGGCTCTACAATGAAGATTAGATGACTAACCAGAAAGAATAAGCAGCAAGAAACTCTGGAAAACAATGAACAGGTCAAAAACTTACTGCTCAATAAATATGCCGAAGAAAATGAAGATGTATTGGATAGACGCTGAGGAGACCATTGAGTGACATCTCGCGCTGTGCAGGTCACCGACTGAGTGAACCCCGAATGAGAAATGTCCAGTTGGGCGTGTGTCCAAGGGTGATATAGAGGAGACCGTGCTAGGAGGCAGTGAGAGACTATGGGTATAATGCTTTACTGTTCAGTTTCTGTTGGCCTAATACTTTTCTCATTTACTGAAAAAATGTAACTGAAGTGAGTGGGACTTCGTTGAAACAAGTCATTTTCTAGGTAAACTCAATAAATGTATGTAAATTAACTCTACTTTACGACAACGAGTGCCTTATCTTATTTTGCCAAGTACTTTCAACATGAGAAGTGATTTGTTTTCACTTCTGATGACCTGCTTAAATCACAGAGCTACCTAAATTTCCACCTGGTATAATAGCTAAACTCTTCTCCATTTCTTATTGTTTTGTGGTGAGAGCAAGCTGCTAGCCAATTGGTAGACATTGATCTACGCTGATTGGTGGAAATTAATCTAGGCTGATTCAACAACCGATCACAGCTGACCTAGACGTGGACAAATATGATTCGCAGACAAGTGGCTCGCATTTCCGAGAAATATCGAAAACGAGAAAGCAGAAGACTGCGTTTGTTTGAAAACAACCAATCAGAAGACCGCCTTCTTTCTGCGGGCAGAGCCTTATTAATGTACGTAAAATACATATAAATACCTGTTGGTTTTCGTAATAAAACTGATCTGTTGCCTGGCCCTTGTCTTCTGTTGTTACAGTTTTAATCACCAAACTGTTTTGAGATTGTTACATGAGCATCCACACAGTTTTGGTTTACTGTAATGTTGTAGAGCCTATCTCAACGGAAATGAAGAAAAATTTCTTAGAAATTTGGATACTGCTCCAGATGGAACAACATAGAGTCACAAGATGTACCAGTGAATACCAGTTTACTTGGAGATCCTGTATGTAGAGTATGTACCTGGCAATTTAAATACACTGTAAATTCGGCACCATGTGTTAACATATTGTCTAGACTGAAGCTATTATTATTATGAATTTCAATCGGCCATAAGACATGCTATCAGCTGAGGATGAAATATTTTTACTACTAAATATCCGGCAATATGTAATACATGTGTTTTCTTAACATCTGAAATTTTCACTAATTACTGAAATTATAAGCCTGAAAGTTACGAGTCTGAAGAATTAAAAATTCATTGGTTATTCATGTCTCAGCAGTTATTTTTATTAGTATTTCTCCAGTTATATGTCAAATAACCATCTTATGGATCTGTGGAGTCTGTAACAATACGATTGTACAGTTCTTTGTAAG